GGCACCACTCCTTGGCGATTTTCTTTCCACCTCTCCCTCCCCTGCTTTCAGTCTTCAAACCTGCTGTGTTCTCCTGCTGTGCTGGTGCAGGAAGAGATGACCAATTATCATGGCAAGAGAAGCAAATTCCTCTGTGTGTATTGCTCACCTGGAATATTTGGATAACATTAAACCTGGCCAGAGCAGCTGATGAAGTTTCCTTTGGTGTTTCACTGGGGATGTTGGATGTCGATCAGGTTACCGAGCTCTCCCACAGAAATATTTCCTAGAAAATTCTAACACCCTTTGCTGAAATCCAGACCTATGCTGTAAGTGTTTCCTGTCTAGACTCTCCCCATTCCTTCTGCCCTTCCTAAAGCCTAACTTGTCTGCAAGACAACAGCTCCCCTTGTTCTACAAGGAGAACTGTCACATGCGTGCACTGCTACTGTCACAACATCCTCTGCACCTCAGAGCTTTCTCAAAGGAGAAGCAGGGTAAAACTCAGCTACCTACAGAAAAATGAACCCTCCTGGGGGTCACTGGCCCTGAGTCACTCCTTTCCACCCATGGCATGCTGAGCCCACTCACTTCCTCCCCATCTTACCAGCTCTGCTTGCTCAGCTGACTCCGTGGGAAGCTTCTCTCTGGAGACATCACTGCCTTTACATCTGGCCACCAAAGGGAACTGTGAAATGCACATTCTTACCTTTTTTTATATATATTTAGCTTGTGAAATAATAATGATCAAGACATGCAGAAACTCTAAAGCCATGATCCTCGTTTCTTTTTTCCAAAAGCAAGGCAACATTAACTACACTGAAATGTCTTTTCTCTCTTTCCCTTTCACATGGAGGAAATAAATAACCACAAACCCACTCTTTGCTGAATGGTTGTTCCAGATTTGTTGCAATATGGGTGAGGCAGTGCTGTGTCTTCTGTGATCTGAACAAAAGAATTATCTTAACCAAACATCCTATCTCCCCAGAAATTTCAATCCAAGCATTTAGGCACTTCAAGAATTGTGGTCAAGCCTGGCTGGAACATCCTGGTGTGTGTGTGACACCAAGAATCAAGAAAGAGGAGTAGCACAAAGCAGCCTATGCCTGTGAACTTTTTAGAATCCATATAATCAAATCTTGAAGGCTTCTATGGACACCAACAGGAGAGGAAAAGCCATGCACACAAATCCCTTAAGGCTACACACCACTATGTGATTATGGTCATTCAGGAATTCTCAGATAATAGTCTCTGGTAACACTCCACTTCTGCCTTACATCCCTATGTGTGTCAAAAGCACTTACATTATAACCCAAGAGCTGGAGGTTTCTACCCTCTCATGCTCATACTCAGGCAAGGGAGGTTCATTATATTTCATGAAAGGTTTGGCATTAATAGCTGGGACAAAGGGTTCCAAAGGCAAAGAGGAACACTATGATCCACCATCAGAAATAGCCCCAGTGTTCATTTCTAACAGGCAGGAACAAGAATCTTATTCCTAAAACACCAAGCATCTGACATCTCAGAGATGCATAATTCCAGACATCACTCCTGGGCCTCCAGTCAGGCAGTTCCCAACGTGCTGCACCACCTCTCAAATCTGACTTTCACCTCACACAGCTCACACACCCTCCAGCAACAACACAGCAAGTGAGAGGAAGAGACTCCAGCACAGAATCCCTCAGGGAGAGGCACACACCACATAAGCACTGTCCTCAGCATGAAGCACCAGTATCAAGTTGTATATTGCTCAGCTGGGAAGACCTGACTATAAAAACATGCATTAATGACAAACACAAAAGTTTTACACAGTGCATGTGTCCCTTCAAGAGGGGGAAACAATGACAGAGGAGACATTTCTGCCTGTCATGTATGTACAGCCTGGAATCAGCACCATAAGAGCCAATAGCAGAACCATCTCAATTCATAAACAATCCCTAAGGACAGCACGGGACCAAGTCCTTAAGAGCCACGCAGAATGATGGCACTGAGTCCTGTCATCCCTCCCTCCCTGGGGACAGCAGCCTGGGCAGCTCTGCCCCATACTCGAGCTCCTGGATGGCCAAGGCCACCTGCAGTGACCGGGCAGCCCCAAATCCCTGGGGCTTTGCTGGGTAAGAGCCGGGTGGAGATCCCGGGAGGATGGAGGAGCAAAGAACTCGGGCAGGTGTGCCAGGACCCGAGGCCACTGCCAAAATCAGCTCCTCTGGAGCTCAGTGGGCCCGGCACCGGAGCCCCGCTGTCCCGGGGTCAGCTCCTCATCTGGAGCTCCACGGGCCCGGCACCGGAGCCCCGTTATC